ACGCCATCCAATCTTTTTTTGAACGCATTTAGTGAAATAGGGGTCGGTGATCTGGACATAATTCACATATATGTGTCTCTACAGGAATATGTTTGAATAGACCATTCTTACTAAATCTTCTGAAAGAAGCGGGGAAGGGTTTGATCAGGAAAAATGAAAGCAATATATCTGAAACAGTTGATGCTACGAGATACGTCGCCATCTGTAAAAAATATAAAAAATAAAGAAATTACAGTTACTGACATATATTGATTTAAAAACAATTTCACAACTTTGAAGGTAAACAGGGTCAGATGGAAAAAGAAAATCCTAATAACTGATTTTTAAATATAGAAAGGGTCATGACATCACACTCAGTAAATCCACTAGAATTGCCAAGCATTTAACAACCTGCGACCCAGTTTATTGTAAAGCCCAACTTCTCATTCTTATTTCACAAACCCCTGTGGGAATATGACAGGTAAGCATTTTCACCATGACGCTATGTTTTAAACTATATTGTAGAAAAATATTGTCATTACGAGCTGTATTTGAAAAATCATGATAAATATTGATAATTTTGTATTGTCTATTTATGTGTTGCCCACCAAAATGTAGCATAGCAAATAATAATGCTACTGTGACCATAGCGAGTAACATTGTGTTAAAAGTGACACTGTAAGATTGTGATTAGCAGAACACCCCAGGTAACATATTAACTTGTATAGTGGCCCTCAAGTGGGAATGACTAAGGTGTTATATTGATCTAATATTCTTCCTTCTCCGGAGCTCCCTCCCCTGCCGCCATCTTTCTTTTACAATGTAAGTTTGGTAATCGACCGTGTCATGTGTATCTTGTGATCACTTGGAATTGCTTGGAAATTGTATTACTTTTCTGAAAAGCTGCTTGGTGGTCCAGTGGAGGGTAAATTAGATCCCTGGTGGTCTGGAGGGAGAGCTCCATTTTCTGTACCAATATAAAGTGGAGACCACTTTAATACCACCCTCACGCCAGCTGTGAGTCATGGAAAAACTGGGGGGACAATGAGGGTGCATTTAAAGTGGTCTGTGTCTGATATTGGTCCATACCACAATCCTCCCTCAACGAGCTGAGGGAATGTAGTGCTGTGCAGAAAGATCACTTGAACGCACTGCAGGTTCTAGAAGGGCCCCCTTAGAGCACAAGTTCCAAGGCCAGAAGCACCCACTGGGTGAGCCTGGACCCTACGTGGCCGCATTGGTAATCCACCTCTGACTTTTATATAATTATAATAATAATGATAATAATAACAAAGTATTTAACCACGAAAGGCACATTTAGATTACTCTGGTTTCCAAGTATGTTCTGGGGATGTTACGTTTGCCCAAGAAGCAAGGGATTTTACTATTACCAAATTCAATGCTACTACTGGATATATACTATTTGTCCAGGGGTGTCCTATTTAACATCCAGTTGTCACCTGTATAGTCACATATATATATATATATATATATATATATATAATTATGGCCAGTGCTTTGTTTTAATTGTTGCACCATGCATGTCACATATACTATCAGTGTTGGCTCTGCTGGCATTGGTAGTATGCGTCATGTGTCCGTTTTTAATAGTAGAATAAAGGGCATAGACACAGCTTTCAGCCCAATTAAAGAGCCCAATAATTTATTGATCCAATTATACTTTTGGCAAACATATGCAACAATGCAGCCAAATGACAGTCCATTAGCATGTGTCCTGCATATAGTGTGCAGGGGATTGTGGGTACTGATCAAAGAATGTGGAAGAAATAAATAGCAATGTGGATTATTATGTTTAATTTCATTCTTTTTTTCATTCAAAGTTTATTTAACAAATTGTTAGCACACAGATTACAGCTCTCAAATAATATCGTATACAATGTAAACAAAAGCCAGTGCATGGTAAATACAGCAGTCAAGTGTTCCAAGTGTTACAGTGAGAACTACAAGATAAAAAAGAAAGAACTAGCTAGATGGGGTGAACAAGAGAAAAGAGGATGATGAGGGAGAAGAGAGAAAAATAAAAAGGGAGGAGGAGAAGGACGAGTGAGGAAACATTTTGTAGATAACTCTCCAAGTGGGAGAATCCACCCATGAAATGGCACACATGCTCCAAAAAAGAAAATCTCCCTTATAAGGTTAAACCAGAGGAGGTATGGTGGGGGCTCTAGATCCAGGGGTTTGCTGATCAGGTCAGATCCAGTGGGCCCAGACAACAGTAACTGCATCCAATGGAACCAAGTGGAGATGTATGTCTAATATTTTGAATTATGAGGACCGGATTTCACTTCCAAAATAATGGAACAAGGGTCCGAGCGGCATTTATGAGGTGCGTAAGCAGGGATTTCAGATATTTCAAGATCGGAAGAGTGAGTTAGTGTAGTATATAAACCGCAGGGGTATAGGAAATTGAAATATTTGTGAGTGTGAATAGGACAGAATGGACTTTCCTCCAAAATGGTTGAATAAGAGGGCACTTCCCCCAAATATGGAACAAGGTACCTCGTTCTCATGTGCATCTCCAACATTTGGGGTCATGGATGGAGGAATATGAAGCTGGTTTGTCCAGGGTATTATAACAGTGAGTAAGTATTTTATATGTAGATTTGTGAAATTTGGTGTAAATAGATCAATTGTTAATTAGTGAAAAATTCTTGCGCCACTGTTCAGACGTGAAGGACAATTCCCAGTCACGCTCCCAGAACTTCATGGAGTTTGGAAGTCGTGTCCTCCCCTGGAGTGATCAGCAGTGTGTACACTACTGGAATAGTGCATGGTAATGAGTCCTGCTGAGTGCACAAAGACTCATAATTGATTAAATTATAGTTAATTTTAGTTAAAAATACATTAAAAAACACAAATTTAAGCCTGCCTCTGTTTTCCAATAACTCACTTATAGTATAATTGTATGGACTACCAGTTCTCACTCTAGTGCTGAAATAGGGACTGGTGGCTTTAATCTATGGGGGACCTATCAGTCTGTGAGAGTCAGTATATGTAACAGTTTCAGCAATATGTATTCTATATAAAGTCCAATGAAAGACTTCCATGTCAAAAGACATTACAACCAGTTGAAGTAAAAAACAAAAAAACTAAAACAAAAAATGAATTAGAAACTTCTATGAAACTTATAGTATTTTTAATTTATATACCATAAAAAGTATGTGCTTTAAATTAGTTAAACTTTTTTTTCCAAACATCCTATTATTCCAAATGAGTAAAAGCTTTTCCGATACATCAGCTGCCAGTCTGCAAATGAATTTGATTACGTTAAATTAATTAGGAGCACAGACGCTCGGAGAGACGGTGAGAACGCAGTGCTTAACTAAATGGCAAGATTCTAGTAAGGCCATGCGAGTCCCTGAGGCATATATCGGCAAATAAATAAGAAAGTGCTGAATACAGCAGACCACAAATTCAATCTGAGAGCCCGACAGAAGCATCTTCTAGCAGGGGACGCATTCACACACACACACTGCTATTCACATCTTGGCTTCCTCTGCAGTAAGACGAGGCTTTCAAGAAAATCTATACTGATAGCTCTGTTACTTCACCTCTGAATTTTTCGCTGCTTGAACTGCCCACGGCAAGACAAATTACGGTTTATAACCGGACTTTAACCATTTAATTTCCTATCTTCATCTTTTCTCATCTTGCACCGGCTTCTTCAGTAGATACAGTTGCTCTTTACAGTCCTCTGAGTCAGCCGCTCCGTATATCAATGGTTTCCTATTTGCCGTTGAATCAAAATTGCCTTTGGGTCTAATAAAGAAAATGTTTGACCTTTGCAAAGAGTTAGAAAATCTCATATTGCAAAAGGTATATTACCAGACATCTAAAGAGGGCTAATAGTCTCTTTTAACATATGATTCTCAATGCCGTGGGTGACTTCATTATGGTAATGGGACTATATGAGCAGTTATTTGTATCAGGCAAGACGTAGTCATGAGACGAGAGTCAATGACCATGACTCAAAACATTGCGGGCTTTGCTCGGGTTGTAATTGAAAATGAGGATATCATCTATCTTTGCAGCCATTTAGAACACCGGAAACCTATCGTAGGTTTTTTTCTTACCGAGAATGATCTCCTTGTATTGGTAACAATGTAATAACTGCAAATGTTAATGGAAATATTTCAAGACTCGAAGCAAAATATGCAGATATGCAGGTGTCTATTCACTAAACAGGAGATTTATTTTGTGGTTAATCAATTTCTAAGGTAACAGTCTTAAACAAGCACGTTTTTTCACCTTAACGTATGAATTTTATATCAATTATAATTTTTCATCAAAGTGGCTAAAAGTGGTTAATAAAATCATATATACGTTTATCTCACTGTACTCTAAACAGTTTTCATGCTTTTTTTTTTTTTACTCATGACCATATTTCTGTATGATCCTATCATTAATGTGAGGTACAAAAAGATTGTGGTATTGCCAGACACAATACAACTCCCCGCAGAGCAAATACTAAAATTACTGTTATGCATCACCTGCACATCTCAAGTTGGACTATGAGGGGTCCTTCATAGGCATAGAAATCATGTTTCGACAACTATCCCAGAGTTCCCAGCTTGATATGCAAATGAGCCTAGACAGGCCTCATGTTTCAGACTTCACACTGCGTTTCTGCATTTAGCAATGGACAACCATAGCATGGGTTGTGATAAAAAAGAATCAGTGACCAGAAACCAGCCGTGGGCTGCCTTTTTAACCTTGTGGGCAGTGGTGTACACACAATCCATGGGGCCCAGGTGCAAAACTGATCCGTGGGCCCCCCCAATCCGTGCCCCCCCAGACCCATACCTATAGACACACACACATACACACATACACACACATACATACAGACACACACACTCCCGACAGACATACACACAGACACATACACACACACACATACATACAGACACACACATACAGTCACATACATACAGAGACACACACATACAGTCTGTATGTATGTGTCTGTATGCGTGTGCGTCTCTGTATCTATGTGTGTGTCTGTATGTGTGTGTGTCTCTGTATGTATGTGTCTGTATGATGCAGACACGTACATACAGAGACACACACATACAGACACATACATACAGAGACACACACACACATACGTACAGACACATACATACAGACTGTATGTGTGTATCTCTGTATGTGTGTCTGTATCACACAGACACATTCATACAGAGACACATACATACAGAGACACACACACATACAGACACACATACACACAAAATGTTTAAGTCACCCTCCTGTTTCCTACCTTTTGCAGGAGGGTGACTTTCCCTGGGGTTCAGTGAGGGCTCAGCCTGATGGGAGTCAGAGTTTCCACTCTGACTCCCTCCTCCTTCCTCCCGTGCGGCTCTCTGATAGCTGGAAGGAGTGACTGGGGCAGTCACTTCCTCCCAGCTCTGTCTGACATCATCACAGGGGGCCCGGTTGCGCTGTGAAATCGCCCAGCGGTGACCTGGCCCCCTGAAAATCCATATCGGGTGGCCCTGACAGCATGAGCCACCCGATGGACCCCTTCATGGGCGACTCCGACAGTTTGCCACGCAGGCCGGGGCCGCAAAACATGGCGGCGGATACCCGGTTGCAGGGGTCTGAAACGGCCGGGCCCCCAGTAGTGACGGGCCCAGTCGCAGCCGTGACCCCTGCGACAGCGGTATGTACGCCAGTGCTTGTGGGCCTTATCAGCATGGAGCTAGTTCTGGTCTCTCTGAGAATTTGTTACCAAAAATATTGTGGTGAGGCCAAGCATGATACGACTACCCACAGTACAAATACAAATATGACTGTTATGCACCACCTGTATTAATAAAGCATTTAAAAAGTTGTCTGTAGGCAATGCCAACTGGTTGCACTGTAAAACAGCTCCTGAGCCATCCAGCCACCTCAGCTAAACTGGTCTAATCAAAATTATTCAACCCCCATTGAAAATCAGGTTTATTGTCAAAATTTACAGACTTTCAGCTGTTTGCAAGAAACAAATTAAACAAAAGCAATTGAAATATCACAGCAAATGCTCAAGTGGTTTCCTTAAAGTCAACTGAAAAATCAACCTATAATAATGACTTCTGCAGTCTCAAAATGATTCAACCCCTTCATGGCAAGCGTCTTTAGTCTGGGCTCTTTTGCCGTTATGACCTGCTATAAACAAGATGCATAGCCAGACACCAGCTTCTGGCAGTGTTCTGAGGAATCTTAGCCAGTGCTCATGAGCAATGGCCTCCAGTTCAGTAATATTCTTGGGGTTGCATGCTGCAACTGCCTTCTTCAAATCCCACCAGAGATTTTATATGGGGTTCAAGTCAGGTGACTGTGATGACTACTGTAGAATTTCCAGGACTTTTTAAAAATAAAAAATAAGGTAAGTGTCACGCCTCAAAATGTTAATTATAATTCTGGATTTATACAAATCATGAGAGCATTGAATTAAGTTAAATATTGTCTGACATATCTCATATTATTTTTGCTTTTGGAGTGAAGGAAAGCTGAAGAGATCTACAAAACTTTGAATGAGGTATCTCTAAGTTTTGACTTGATTACAGTAGGTACCTTAGCTCCCAAAGACTATAGTTTTTTAAGGAGCAAGAGTTCAAGGGGTTCTCTCAGTTTAACCCATATATGTATCTCATTAATGGGGGACCCTAATAAAAAAGTTTGAAGAGTAAATAGACAAAAACAAAGCTTACACTGGGAAAGGCCAATCTTATTCTAGAATGCTGAGATTTGTTTCCTACAAAAAATTCTTGACTGAAATGGATTTGTTTGATTCAATGAATCACGAGTTTGGGCAGTCTGCTTTTCAAAAATAGAACCCACACTCAACAACATAAATCTTAGACAACAATTATTTGTTCTCGTATTTTTTTTTCTACTATTTCTGAAATTCTGTGAGAAGAATAAGCCACCATCATTTAGCTTTTATTCTGCAATAAAAACATGGAGATGATGCATTCACATCTGACCTTGAGACATTGCATCTTGATTAAGGTCTTCTTGGTCTGCCTTCTGTCACTACATATTTATCACGCATTGTACCTCTACGCAAGGTCAACATGCCTCGTGTAATGCAGGAGACCTATGAACTGATAATGTTAAGTCATCAGGATTTGTTGCCTTGGCCAATAGGGCTAATTAAAAGGAGCCTTTCGAATGCATGTGGATTTTTATTCCTCTTGATAAATGGCCCTAATTTCTTTTGTTTTAATAAACACCCACAGTCTGTCTTTCCTTAGTCCTCTGTACTAATTGAGATGTATTAGATGCACCAAGTTCTGCAGTATTTGAAAAACAATCATTGGCATTTCTCCTCTGAGCTCCAAGTATGATCCCAGCTTCTCCCTGATCATTTTAGCTCTATTTAATTTGCATGGAATGTGAGAATTTATGTCTTAATTGTTGCAAGTTCTGACAACATGACTATGGCTTTTCTTTTGGCAACAAAGATGTCTATATCTACACAGATATTGCTCATTAACATTTTCAACCCTTACTAACAAGAAACCAATTTCCTCTGGAAAATAGCTGCGAAATTCCCGTGCTGCTTGGGCAAAGCCTCCAACAGTCAGATTTTACAACAAATTAAATTCCAACCAGAATAAACGATCGTGCTTACTGGACTTCTTATCTTGTGAAAGGATTTTACCAATCCTAAACCTTTACTATGGGAGGCAGGGCATTGGGGCTTGCACAATAGCCATTTCTACACACTGTGGTCTCACCTGTATAATTGCATATACGTATCGAAAATGAGATTTGGAGACTCCTTCTTAATCCAACAATGTTCATGTCAATTCTTTAGTGGTTGACGCTGGTAAGACTGGCTAAGTGGTTAATCACAGGTCAAGGAGCTACACAGAGTCCAGGCCCGTAAAATGTACACTATAGTCACCCACACCACTTCATTTTAATAAAGTGATCTTGGTTCAATGTCCCTGTCCTTTTAACCCTGCGAAGAAAACAGTGCAAGGTTCATTCCACCTGTACTCTCTGACTTCCTGATAGTCACTAGAGGAGTTTCCCCCGCACTAGGGAAAAATCAGTCACCCGACGCTGAAGCCCACATGAAGCATTGAATACAATGCATTCCTATGGAGAATCTTGAATGTTTTTGCGATGCTTGCCTAGCCCATGTGTGGTACTCCTAAGTAATAAGCACCATATGAGGTTTACCTTTTAATACATGGCTCGAATGGCTAGGGTCCCCAGGACCACATTCCAATAAATTAATTTTACCTACTCGCTTACACTAATAGTTAATAGTGAAGAGGACCCAAATCTTCTAAACCAAAAAGACATAAACTGTAAAAAAAATATATAATACTTACCTGTGACAGTTTTCATTGAAGATCTTCATTTTTCGGACAGCAAAATGGATAAAATCTAAATATCTAAATGTAGTTACATAGAATTAGAAAAAATATCCAATTTGCCAAAAAATAAAAATAAAATGCTAGAAAACTAAAAACCACAAAGCATCTTCACTCACTTCATACTTAACAGTTGGGCTGGAGTGTGAGGGTAAATTATTGTTCTTGTGATTTTTAATTTTCTGGGGATTTTCTGGGGATTTTATTAAAGACACGGAGGCTCCTATTATGCATTCTCTTTCTTTATTATACTCCCAGCAGCAAGAAAAGGAAGTATGAGAGAATCATATAAAAAAACATAACAACAGCTTGGTAACAGTGGCACCAATCAGCATCCAGTATTATCCATATGGGTGTGGTGCTCCTTGACTCCTCCTCTTTCTTGCTGCTCCCTCAGACAAGTTAAGTACCTCATCTCTTGCTACTCCTGTGATTTTCATACATATATGTGTATTTTGGGTAAAAGATTTTAGCATTGTGTATGTTTATGCTTATTTTATGCTTCACTGTTATTACTGGTTATTTAATACTGGTGTCTGGGAGTGCTGCCTATTAAATAGGGGTCTCTGGGACCCTGGGGTTTTTCCCCCTTTCAGTGGTGTTAGACTCTTTACCCTGCTCGTTTCCGTTTTTGTGTGGGTGCAGCAGGGCTGCCCTTAGCTGCTCTCCTCAGCCGCTCTCTGTTTTGGTCGCGGTCTATTCCGCGGTTTTCTGCCGGTCCGCGCATGCGCAGTACGTGCCGCCGCGGCCATCTTTTTGGTTTATGTCGCCGCCTATGCAAATTTGCTCGCGGCGGCCATTTTAAGTATGTTTTTCGGCGGGAAATTGCTGCGGACCGTTTCTGTATGTGGATAACGGTTTCTCCTACCCTCCTGGCGCACTCCCAGACCCATCCTGTGCTTATTAACTGTGTTGCTGTCTTTGCTGGTCAAACTGTAAGTGTTGGTGTGGAGGATTACTCTATCCTGACACCCTTTTTGTCCTTAGCCTTAGCTAGTATATTTTTTCCCTACAGGTCATTTCAGTTACCATTAGCTACTACTAGTGGCATTACCTTATTGGGCCCTATAATTCTAACTCTGAGTGGACTTGGGTGTTTTATCCCCTGTGAGTTTATATTATTGCTAAAATGCAAGATCAGAATGAAAGACCTGCAGGGTCTGTGTGTCCTACACCAGGGGTTTCCCCCTCAGACAGGGCATGTAAGGATGACGCCAGCCTCATGGCATCGGAGGAATTTCAATCCCTCCTCGATTCTACCATGGCACAATCCATCAACAAGGCGTTAGCCTCCGCGATGGGGGTCATGTCATCCTCTATCACGCAATCTGTATCCAAAGCGCTGATACAGTCTCAGAGTTGTGGCCCCCAGAGCACACTAAATCCGGGATCCACTAATGTGGTACAACCGGGACGTAAAGCCTTGACGAAAAGCAAACATATTGCCTCCCCTCCAGAACTGCAGGTTCAGCCTGCAATGACTGACACGCCTCAGGCTGTCAAGGATGGCGCGATACCACCGCGCAATAGAGCCCCTGGCCGGGCAAAATCGGCCAGATCTTGGAAGCGGGCACGTGCCCAAGAGGACTCGTCCGATTCGGACCGGAGTTTGGAGGAGGAGTATGATGAGTTATGCATGGACCATTATAGTGCGGAATATTCCGATTCAGGGTCCGAGGTGAAATTTCACACTGCGACCCAGAA